TACTGATGAATAGAAGATCTATAACAGACTTCCTGGTCTCTGGACTAACTTTTAGATCTGCTTCTATCATAGTGATTATAATCTCTAGATCTGCTTCTGTCATAACGATTATAATCTTGAAAATGTCTTCTGTACCTTTCTTGACTTCTAGATAGATTTCTTCTATAATTTCGAGGCTCTGATCTGGATCTTCTTTTGGAATCTCTATTTTGATAAAAGTTGTTTCTTCCTCTATCAAGTTAATATTGTATAACAACATATCCAATATTGTTATATTAGAAGCAACGAATATTTGGGTTGATTTTTCTATTCTTGTCTTGATTTCAATTATTTGGTTTATAACTACTTTCTACAATATAAGCTTCTTTTTTGTTATTTTGTTAGACCAAATTAAGACTCATATTTTAAGACTATCAGTTAAATCTTAGATCATATTCTTCACTTTACTAGTAGATCCAGAAGCTAATATTTTTTCAGTTTCTCATTTTCTGGCCATTTCGATTGCAGTATTCACATCTGCAGGGTCAGATGCTTGTATATAGATAGCCAAGTCAGGTTGCAGACCTTGAATAAAAAGTTGTTTAATAAAATCTCCTGGGAATTCTTTATTAGGATCAATTTGATTTCGAAGCTTTTTAAAACGATTAATATAGGCATTGACAGAATCTGCTCCTTGCTAAATATCAAAGAGTTGTTTTTGTCAGGCAGCTTGTTGAGTAGAAATAGAGAAGTGAGTTTTAAACATATAGTAAAAACTACGGGCTTGGGCATTATCAGTTCTAAAAGAGGTAGCAGTTTGGGTATCATTTAAAGATTGGTACTATTCTTAAGCAATCCCTTTAAGATATGCAGGAGCAAGCTCCAATTGTCTGTCCTCATTCCATCTATTAGCAATAGCAGCACATTCAAATTCTTCTATCCATTCAACAGGATCTTGGAACCCATCTCCTTTGAAGTATTTCAAGGTCACCAAAGTTTTTTTACTGTCTTATTCTAGTGCAGTAGCTAAAGCTTGTATAGCAGTAGTAGCGTCTTGTAAAGCAGCTTCAGCTATTAGTTCAGGATTTATAGATACAGTAGGGTTTGCTTCAATATCAATCTGATCAAGAATTTGATCTGTTTCAAAACCAAATGATTCATGGGGTGCACTAAAATTAGGATTTAAAACTACAGACTCAGGTGGGGAAGTATTAATAGGTAATTGATATAATATAGATCCTTCACTAAAAGAACTATCTTCTAAGTAAGTAATATTGGTAGGGTTAGAATATTGGGTTAATTGGAGGCTACTATTAGAAATATATAAAGTTTCAAGTGGTTCTAACTCTTCAAGTGGAATAATTAAATCTTCTACTTAGTAGTCAGTATCAATATATAAGTTGTAGGAATTAGCAAAATATATTCCTAAAGGTGAATAATGTGTAAAGGTGGTATATCTTTGTAATAAATAAATTATTAAAAATTTGGGATTAGAGATTTCACTATAATAGCAACAGCTAAATATTATATCTCGAGCAGCTCGACGAGTGATAGTATATCTGGTAGTATGCTTTAAAATATATAGTTGATTATAGGTAGATAAGCTACTAGATTGTAATAGAATGATAGTGTGATACTACTCAACAAACTGACCGAATTGTCTATTTGAACTATATCGTCCAAGGGAAAACAAATAGAGCAAGATAAATCTGAATAATTAAGTTGTAGATTTGAATAAGGTAGTGAAGTAGTTTGCTGATAGGCTTGTTCATGTAAGGCTATTTGATCATTGTGAAACTCAGTTACAGTAGTCATATACTATGTTATATTCTGATTCTTTTTCCAAAACTAAATATTAGAATCTAATTGACTGTTCCATTCTAAATTTGCTAGCAATATAAAACACAATCCTATCCAAAATCTACACGGCTAACGTGTCATATACAAGGGTTGTACACAGTAAAAATTATCACGTACAGAATTGTACAAAACCAATATATCACATACAGAAGTTGTATAGCCAAAAATATCATGTACAGAATTATATACAGTTAATAATATTACGTACAGAAATTGTATATAGTTAAAAATATTACATACAGAAATTGTATACAGCTAGGAATGTTATATCCAAAGGTTATATACTAGTTTACTGTTTTTAAATTAAAGGTTTTAATAAGAAGAGTTACTGTAATACCCATCAATAGTTTCGTGTTTCCGCCAGGAGGTACCAAAATATTACAGTGGTACTCAAAATATAAGATAATATTGACAGATATAGAATAGTTTATTTTAACAATAAAG